GGACAGCAGAGCATTTGATAGATATGGGTGGATTTTGACCTAAACTCCACAGTAACCACTTGAGTGTCTAGTCAGAAGCCCACAAGGGGACTTATCAATGAATGTGTCCTTTTTTCATAATTTCAGCCACACTCTGATGGGTTGATAGAAAACCAGGACAATCTCCAGGGAATCCAGGTCGGATTCTGGGCTCAGTTTCTTCTCACTTTTGGCTCCTGGGACACCTTTGCTTGTCCACCCTGCAGGGCAGGGCTGGACAGGTTGGCATTTGGAAGCCAATTATTTCTCTTTCACAGACAACTTGGAAATGTGACAAATTTTTCCCCAAAAGCCCTGGAATGCATTTGCTGTCCTGAATTTTAGGGAAGGGGAACGAAGGGTTGAAGCCTGTGTCCTGATTCACATTTCACAGCACTGTGAGCATCAGCAGGAGCAAATCTCTGAAATTTGGGAGGAGGAGGGCCATCTATATCCTTCATTTCCAGGGCTGGGCAGTGCATCCTTTCCCTCAGAAGTGTTAGTTATGGTGACTGGATCTCTGGCTACAGCACAGGAGCCTTCAGAGGGGCTGTGAACATCCCACTCCCCATCCCCTCCACGCTTGGCATCATGCTTGTGAGCTCTTCAGATAGAAAATAGCAGTTCTTAAAAAGCAAAGTAAGTATAGGTGGTGATTTATTCTTTTTTTAAATAGATACAGACTGCCTTAATGGGCACAGCCATCTCAGGAGGCTGTTGGCTGCCTCTGCTTTTTGGGCCAGTGAAACCTTTGCAGATCAATTCCTGTGGTCCCCTGGGCCCTCTCACCCAGCAAGAGCCGCACCCAGCAAGTAAAGAGCAGCATTTTCAATAGGACAGGTCTGCTGGAAGCTCACAGTGCCTAATCCTGGCTTGTAGAACTCATTTTTTGGTGTTAAGGGCCAAGCCACTTCACCCCCAGTGTCCCAGCGGTAAAACAAGGATCATAAAATGCACCTAACATAAAAGCAGGTTGTGAAAACCTAATTAGTAGGTGTTAGTCTTTTGAACCCCTCAGGTAAAAATTGTGGCACTCTGAACTCTCTTCTTGGGGAATTCAGGTGGATGAATTCAGCTTAATAATCCCCCAAGGGACTATTATCTAAGTTTTATGTGGAGGAGGGAGGAGAGGAGGACTTGGGTTGCCCAAGGTCAGGAAGAGGCAGAGGTTTTGTTCCACCAGGAATGAGCTTCACAAATGTGGTTAAATGCAGGAGGGTTGGAACGAGATGATCTTTAAGGCCCTTTCCATCCCAAATCATTCTGTGAGCTATGAAATGGGTGGTTGGGTGTGGCTGAAATTTCCAGCTGGTTCCCGTTTCTCATCCCTCTTCCCATGTGTATCACCTGCCACAAATGCTGGGGGGAAGCAGGACTGGGGGTGGGCATTGTAGAATAGCCACGGAAAACACATTTTCCCAGTTTGTGAGCCTGGGAACGTGGACACGTGGAGTCTGCTCGTAGAGATCTGCTCTCCCAACGAGGTTCTGTGACCTACTTGTTCAGTCAAAGCAGCTTTGATTTCACGTGTCCAGGCGGCTCCAAGCGAGACCAAACTTACCTAGCAACAATTAAGAGAAGCATTTAAGAAGCAGGAAACGATGAAAAGGGAAATAAAAACCCTAAACAGGCCCATTCACAGGGGGTGAATAGAGGAGTCTTTGCATACCTGATTTGTCACAAATTATTCATCCAAGAAAATTATGGCCTGAACCATATGACAATTTTTCTTTTATATCCTCTGATATATGAATCAGTGTCACTTTACATCTGAGCACAGAACGTTTTGACCTATATAATATCTTAGATAGTGGCAATGCAGCTTGAAAATCTCAGCGAAAATGAGAAAAGATGGCATAAGTCAGTAAGATGGCATTAGCACATATAGATGCAACTTATCACTGGAAAACATCCCAACAGAAGCCCAGAGAAAAATGTTTTGTAAATAATAGGATTAGGAAGCAGGTTGGTACTTTCTGGAGCTGGCTATACAATGAAACTGATAACAACGAGATTAATAAGGCAATTCAGTCCCAACACAGTGTAGCACTAGAAAGCTTTTCAAAATCAATGCTATCTGTGCTATTTTAATCGAGGTTGGTCTTTGCCTTTTGAAGCAAAGAGATTTGAAACTCCAGGTCAGGATGGTGTAATAAAATGGACTGGGGTTTTTTGAGTTTGTTTTGTTTTGTTTTTAACATGTACTTCCTAATTAGTACCCTCCATTTCTAAATGTTTTCCTCGTCCCAGGTAGGGGAAGTGAAGGCATACAGGTACTGGCTTGCCTGTGTTGGTACAGAACTATGGCAGACCTTGGAGAATGCTGTGCTGGGCTCAGTTTCTGGTGTTTTGAGCAGCTGGTTTGTCTGTCTGGGACCCACCAGTGGGCTGAGCAGAGCAGGGTGTCTGTATAGGGCCACACACCTCACAGCATCCTACAGCACACGTTGCCTTCCACTGTACAAAGGGAGATTGTAGGGAAAGTGTCCTGAAGTTGAAGTGTGGCACACAAAGCACCCAAGGACTGATAGTTCTGAGCATTTTGAGATCCACTAAACCAGCTGAGACCTTCAGCCAAGTATCATGTCTCAGCTTTGGGCAGTCTCCCTGTCTTGGGGAGAGAAGCCAAGCCTGGCACAGGCAGCAGTATCCTTGCCAGCATCTCAGGTGTCCACGAGAGCATCGTGTCTGCTGCTGGCCAGCAGAGCAGTGACCCCAGAGCCGTGGCAAGATGGTTAGCAGAGCCTTGCTCTCCTCCACCACTAAGCTGCCCCCTCCCTGTTCATTTATGCCAGCAGAACCCTTTGTGCCTCTGCATTGCAATATTTTTGCTTTTCACAGTGTGTGAGGAGGAGAAAGTAACCCCTGACACTGTCCTGGAGGGGGGTCTCAGCTGGCAGCCAGTCCCCTTTCCCACCAGGCTGCACACAGGCAGAGGTGCTCTCAACTTGTCTTCCTCACATCCAGCATCTCCAGCCCCTACAGCTGCCTTAATTCCAGGAGGAACCACACAGACCTGTCACTGGGGGCACGTAAAGCCAGACTGGATAAATGCATTTGAATAATACGTTGTGATGCTCTGAATCCTTCCTGCTGTAGCCACAAAACATGGATGAGGTAGGAACTAACACCTAGGGAACTGTCTTCTCTACTTCCTAATTTACCTTTTTTTCCTTTCACATGTGAACCAGCATGTATTCAGGGGGAAAAAAAAACATTTCTTTCTCTAAGCTTTGTCTGTCCTACAGCGAGTGTGAAGGAGTGTGAATCCCATTTGGAAGCTCCTTCAGAGGACTGAGCAGGTGCGTGGTTTGCACACTAATCCAGTCTGCTCCCACACCCCGCCGTGAACCCCATTAATGGGGAGGCTTGTTAAATGCCACTAGGCTCCAGGAATGAGCCAGCCCTGCTGTTCCCTTGATGCACCAACAAATGAAACAGCTCGCAGGCTCTCAGGTCTGTCAGAGGAGAGCAGGAATCGCTCTGACTTGGCCATGGATGGTCTCTGGCAGGAGGGAGGAAAGGGAAAACCATCGTGGCATTTCCAAGGGTTTGATGTTAGGTGGTGCTGAGGGCTGTGCTCAGCCTAATGAGGGGATTTATGTGGCATCCTGCAAGTCTGAAAATTCTTTTTAATGGCACCAAGCACACTCACACAAGCTTTTTCTCTTTCATTTTTGTCTAATGCATTTGGGATTTTTTTCAGAACTGGTAAAAATACATTCTCTTGAGATACATTTTCATTAAGGTGTATATTTCTGGGTAGCAATATTTCTGCTGGAAGAGAATTTGGTTCTCTTTATGAGTGTGCTCATTGGGATATCTGTGCAACAGGAACAATAAAACAGAGCAATGAGTACATGGCAGTTAAAATGTGTCTGAATGGGAGCCCAGCTCCCTTGAGCATCACGAGGTGGGTGGTTTGTTCTTTGTGACCCCTCTGAAAGCAGCCAGCTAAAACAAGAAGGAGCTCTGCAGCCAGCTAGATGCAGACCAGTACTTGTGTGTGTTTAAGTGAGGATTCACAGCTCGTGTGAATAGTGTGGTTCTCTGAAGGGGCTTCGTCCAACCTGTTCTTCAATATAGCTTCATGGAGCTGCTAGAAACTTTGGCTGCTCATTCCCACAGGTCTTGGTCAGACTGGTGTGACATCTGTCCTTGTGTGGTGGTGTCAGGCCACGGGAGTGACACTGCTGTCACTTCAGGTCTCAGCTCCAGCATGTGAATGACTGTGGTGAGCTGGCCTTGTAGCTTCAGCCCAGTTACAGCAGTGGTGGGGAGAAGGGGCTTGAAGGCATTCACAGGATTAGAGTGGGCTGGAGTGGAGCTCTGGGTCTGGCCTGGGTCCCTGGGAGCTGGGAGAAGGTACACTGAGAGTGTGAGGTCTCCACAAGTCAAGAAGGCTGTGTAAAATAGAGATACTGGATGTTCTCAACTAAAAGCCCAGGAGAAGACAGTGCTGGGATCTGTCCAGATCATTCAGTCCCTACCTGAAAGGGACAGGGCAAGTCCATTGGCAGCCTGGAGGAGAGCTTCTGTGTGCACTGCTAACAGCTGGCTGGTAAGGACAAGCAGAGATGTGTTTGGTGCAGCCAATGGACTTGCCCTGTCCCTTACCAGCACTGCTAACAGCTGGCTGGTAAGGACAAGCAGAGATGTGTTTGGTGCAGCTGTAGGGCGCACTGTGCCGTGGCAGCAGGACCAGGTGTGTGTGATGGCTGGTTAGATCACACAGCGATTATTAATTGGGGTGGCTCGGGGCGTTCTTTGCCAGAATGGCTTCACAGTCACAGCAGGGCACTGACAAGGGGTGAAAAGCCCTTCAGAGGCATCAGGACATCTCCCTTCTGGATGGGGTGGGACACGGGCGGCGTGGCAGTGTCTCTGCTCGGAACCCTTCAGAGCAGGATCTCTTGACTGTTGAACAATGCTTGGCAGAAAGGAGCTGGAATTATAAATAATGCATTTCCTTTGTCTTGCAGGAGTTCTGGAGGCAGAGGTACAATCAGATCAGCTGTGAACAGCTTACATAGCAAATCTAATAGGTTTGTAAATTAGATTTTGTGTTCATTTGTTTTTGCTGTAAGGCAGCTATTAATCTGCTTCTCCTCTTTGCTGGATAGTGCTGTTCTTATTTAGCAAATGTATCTGTTCCTTTTCACTTCTGCTTTGCATTTTCTTAATCATTTCCCCCCCTCCTTCTTCCAGCTCAGTGCAATAATCATTTGCAAATAACCAAGGATCTGGAAGTTGCGGTGATTGAGAGAATGAGAAAGAGTTTACTTATTGTGAAAATAAGTCAGTGATAGAGTTGCTGTTTTCCATAGTTTTAAGTGCTATTAGAGGAGCAATCACTGTGTTTGGGATCAGAACTCCAGTTTTGTTGCAGTGCACTCCCGTAACATCCCTTTGTGGCAGAGTCATTCCCTGGCATCCCAGCCACATTCAGTGTCTCTCTGTGTCATTTTTACAAAGATTCCCAGTCAGCCCAGCCTTGCCAAGTGGCACATTTGAAAACCTCCGTGACAGCATGCAAGGAAGGGTGATACCATTCTGTGATGATGCCACCACCTGTGACCAAAACACAGAAAATTGACAAAAGCTAAAGAAACACAGTTATTCCCAGGATTGCTTTACCCTACTTCAGTTACGATTTTTGACACCTTCTAGGTAAGGTTTCCAAGACATGAGTGATGCAGCAAAATGCAAGAAGCAAACAAATCCAACAGACTGGCAGCCTCTGGAGAGGTACTGTACACACACACATCAGGACACTGGCAGCCAGCATTTATAAACACATTTCCTTGCCTTTTCAGAACATTATACAGTGTGAGCCACAGTGTGTCCTGGGTAGCTCTTGCCCTGAGCTGGAGGTGTGTTCCCAGGAACTGGATGTTTGTGCATGAGCCTGGGCCACCACCTTTGCCCCATCTCTCGCTCTGCTCCCTCCTTGGGGTTTACATGCTTTATATAAATGCATTTATTTACAAAGCATTTCCCAGCTGGAAGAAGCCCTTTGCAGTGGAGAGGGAGATTCCCTTTAGCTGATAGTGAGTGCTTTAGCTGTGTGTTTTTCAGAGTGCTCTGAAGTGTGAAGGCTTTTTTGGGTCTGCAGATACACATGCAGCTTCTTGATGAGATGCTTGGCTTTTCTGTTTGGAGGGCAGCTGGCTGGAACCAAATATTTGGAAGCTACTTCAATTCGTGCAGTTTGATTTTAATGTCACAGAAGTGCTGGGGCTGATTTGCTTCTTTGAGCAGGGATTAAACACTGGGGTCTCCCAGTGATCTCTGGCTGACCTCATTTTTTGGTCTGGAACAGGTGATATGGGTACTGAAATCCTTGTGCTCAATTCTAAGCAGGGAAAAAGTTTCCAGTGAGCCAGGCTGCCCCTCTAAGTACAGGCTGCTCATAGCCCAGTCACACAAGCAGCACCCAGCAGCTCAGCTGAATTAATTTCTCCATTGGGTGAAGAGAGGGTTGTTCCTCTCTGGTGAGGATTTTAATCTTCTCCAGGAGATGAGCTGGCTCCACTTTGGGATATTCGTGCGTGACCATGAGGCAACAGGGCAGCCACCTTGGCTAGGAAGTTTCTTAGTGAATTTTGGGGGTTTGGGGTGTCTTGTCTGCAGTTGCCCATCTGCCAGCCTGTCACTGTGTGTTTTTCTGTGCATGCCTCCCTGCAGCTCAGTGTGTAATGGTGTGTTTTCTGTGGAGCTGTGCCTGGCTGTCAGTCTGTGCTTCTGGAAGCAAGCGGGTATTTAAGGATCTGTCTGTCTGCTTGAGTGTAGCAGAATACGAACAGGCTTTCACTTCTTGTTTAGCTAATAACTACAATTTTGCTTTTCTGATGAAGTTTGAATTCCAGCAGCCAGAGCTGAAGATGGTGATTAGAAGTGCCATTGGGATGCTAACAGATTCTGTCTCCCTCTCCCCGACTTTCTTTTCTCCAGAGCTGAAGTAGTAATAAATGACTCCTCATCTCCAGCTGTTGTTGACAGAAGTAATGAAAGCATTAAGCACAACATTAAACCAGCCTCATCCAAATGGAGACACAACCAGACACTCTCTTTGAAGATCAGGTACTGGTAATTACCTGTAGGACAAGAGACAGATTTGGTCCTCTCCAATACAAGCTGGCAAATTGTGTATCATCTAAAGAAGTCAAGGAAGAAATAAAAAGACTTAACCTCCTGCTGAGATAGGTTTCATATCTGTAAACGATTGCTTGGAAATGAATTCCCATCTAGGCCAGCAGGCCTGGCAACAATAAAACAAGGAGCACTTGAGCCCCTGTTTTTCAGGCCAAGTGGAATTTGTGTGTGCAGGTGATGGGTCACAGAGGGAAGGAGACCTTGCCTGGGTCAACTCAGGGACCCTCACAGATGGTGGGCTGACTGTGGTAGCCTGCCCCGGGCAGGGATGAGTGGAGAGGGAGCAGACACTGAGATGGAGATATACTTTTGTATCTGTGCCTGGAGAACATGGTCAGATGGACTGGCCAGAGAGTGAAGGCAGCCAGGAGGCAAGAGCTCATCTTACACATGACCCAGGTTATCTCTGTACCTCACCTGATGAGGCTCTTTTCTTCCCTGTGCTCAGAAAACAGATCTTGAAGTTCCTGGATGCAGAGAAGGACATCTCGGTGCTGAAGGGGACGCTGAAGCCGGGGGACATCATCCACTACGTCTTTGACAGGGACAGCACCATGAACGTGTCCCAGAACCTGTACGAGCTGCTGCCCCGCACCTCTCCCCTCAAGGGCAAGCAGTTCCCCAGCTGTGCCATCGTGGGCAACTCGGGGGTGCTGCTCAGCAGCGGCTGCGGCCCCGAGATCGACGCCCACAGCTTCGTCATAAGGTAGGGAGGGGACTGCTCCTGCAGCAAGGGGGGCTTGGGAGCAGTGCAGGGGCTGGAATCCAGCTCAGCTGGGGCAGCACGGCCTCACAGCCCCACGGGCACTCTGAGTTCTGCTGGAAAGCCTTCCACGCATCTCCAGGTGCTCCCCATGTGTTCTTGTAAGTGAACCATTTGCCCTCCCAACCTCCTCTTCTCTCAGGTTTGTCCTCTTTCAAACAAACCCCACCCTGGGCTCTCACAAAGCTGATTCACTTCTGCCCTGGAGCACCACACGATGCCCTGGCACCACACTTGTGCATGCCCAGGTGTGGCACTCCCCTGTGTCCCCTGTGTCCCCAGTGCTGTTGTCCTTGCCGCTGCACTGCCCCAGGGACCTGCAGCAGCACATCCTGAGCCCCGCTGGGACACACCAAATTCACTTCTGGAGGTGTCTGAAGTGGAGAGGAGGAGCTCCTGCCCTCCCAGCCCGATGCCCCTGTTAGATGAGAGGCTGTGGAATCCACAGATGATTTATGTACATGCAGACATTTGTTTTCTGGTGAGTCTATTACAAGGACAGCCCAATCCATCAGCAGCTCACAGAGGCGGTGCTGGTGTGACGTGGGAATGAGGATAATGTCACCTCTGTCCCCCTCTCAAGCCCTGCTGCTGCAGCTGCCTGGCTGCTGGCAGCTCCAGCCTGCCCAAGGGGACAGAGCATTATCCTTAACTGGAATACCAGTGAGCAGAGGGAAAAACTGCTTACTGTGGTTCTGGCAAAGTTTAGTGAGGGGCATTCATGTCAGGCAGCAAAATTGCTGGAGAAAAGCTTTTCTGGATGTGAGATGGGGATTTTGAGCAACTTGTGCTGGTGCAGTCTGGCACAAACACACTTCCCACTGTAGGTTGTCTGGATGGGGATTTTGAGCAACTTGTCACCAGCCATGTGCTGGTGCAGTCTGGCACAAACACACTTCCCACTGTAGGTTGTCTGAGCCATTGCTGGAACCTGCATCTTCCTGAGGAAGGTTTGATCCATCCAGGCAGCCTTTTCAGCAGGGCTGGCAGTGACCAGTGATTGGTTCTGTGTCCAGGATACAGGTCCAATGTTTCTTTTTATTGAATTCACTCTTGTGATGAGTCAACCAAACGGCCCCCGTGCCAGTAGCTGGATTTTCTTTCCACCATTCCCTTGTTTTCCCCATGTGTAAGTAGGGAGTGTAAGTAGGGAAAACAGTAATAATGGCTGATTATTGAGGCAGATGCTTAGGATGCAATTCCTGCTCAATAAATACTGTAACTTCACTGTCAAACACCACAGCAGAGCACTCAGTGTGCAGACACATGGGTAGCCTCTGGTTTTTAGGATGCTGGGGCAGCATCTCTCTGCATCTCCCCATCAGCTGGTTCCCAGTCCATTTGCCCTGTGCCATGGGCATGGCACAGACACAGATGACTCCCCTCAAGGAGCTGTAGAAAACCACTCTATAACAACAACGAGGGTGATTTGTTGGCAGTTTGTCCCACGGCAGCCCTCACGCTGCTGTGGCACAGGAGCTCAAGATACACGGCCCGTGCCCACATGTGCAGTCTGAGAGGAGACACCAGTGAACACTACAGAAAAAGGTGGTTTTTGAGGGTCACAGCCTCCAGACAGCCAGACCCTGTGGAGGCCCTGTGCTGGCATCCTGCTGGTGTCAGTATCACCATGGTGCCACCATGTCTGCTGCTTGCAGAGACTCGCCAGGGGAGAAGGGGCCTTAGGGATAATGTTACTCCAGCAGGGCAGGAATTATGAGGCAACTGCTTTCCTTGAGTGGAAAAGGCGGTTTTGTCTAAATCTCATGTCTCTGCCATGGGAGCAGAGACTGGAGCTTTGTTGCTGATGTTATTTTTGAAGAGCCACCGCTCCCTGCAAACCACCCAGGAGACACCAGAGCTGTGGCTGACATGAGCCTGGTCCCAGGGGGACACGTGTGCACGTGCCATCGTGCTGAGGGATGGTGCCTGAGATGGGGATGGCTCATCATCACTAATTTACTGCAGAGGGTCATTCTCCCTCCTCTTCCTCCCAAAAGCGAGGGCGAATGGGCACAATGTCACCACCCTGGCTCCTGGCACCACTCCCCCCTCCTGCCTGTCACTGCCCTCTCTCAGCCCATTGAACAGGGCTGCTGGGTGTTCCCCTGTGGGTGTGTTTGAGGTTTCAGGACGAGGGAAGAGATGAGAATTTTACTCTATATTTCAGGAGGTTGGTTTATTATGATATTATATTATATTAAAATGCTATACTAAAACCATACTAAAAAGAATAGAGAGAAAGTATCTGTTAGAAGCAGGAAAGGAAAGGAAAGGAAAGGGGAAAGGGAAGGGAAGGGAAGGGGAAAGGAAAGGGGAAATGATAATAAAAGTTCATGACTCAGAGAATCCAACACAGCTGGATCTTTGATCGGTTATTAAGTAGAAACAATTCACGTGGACTAATCAAAGACGTACCTGTTGCATATAATTATTGTTTTTCTTTTCCTCTGAGGCTTCTCAGCTTCTCAGGAGAAAAATCCTGGGCGAAGGGATTTTCCATAAAACATCACGGCGACATTCCCCTTTGCAGGTGCAACCTGGCCCCCGTGCAGGAGTACTCTCAGGACGTGGGCATGAAGACAGACCTGGTGACCATGAACCCCTCGGTGATCCAGCGCGCCTTCGAGGACCTGGTGAACGAGACCTGGAGGGAGAAGCTGCTGCAGCGCCTGCACAGCCTCAACGGCAGCATCCTCTGGATCCCAGCCTTCATGGCCAAGGGGGGCAAGGAGCGAGTGGAGTGGGTGAACGAGCTCATCCTGAAGCACCACATCAACGTCAGGACTGCCTACCCCTCGCTGCGCCTGCTGCACGCTGTCCGAGGGTGAGCGCCTCTCTGCTGAGCTCCCTGACTGCATCTCCTGGGCTCCCTGGAGAGGCAGCCCTGGGTTTGTGCTGGAGGAACACAGCACAGGTTGTTCCCTTCTGCAGACCATGAGGATGGGGTGGTGGATGGTCCCTAGATAAGAGCTGGAGACCGCCTTGTGAGCAGGGGCTCCCCACTGTGCTCTTTGAGTGCGAGGGATTTTAGCAATATCCAAACCTCCAGGGCTTTCCTGGGGCATCACCGTAACTCCCAAGCCTGTGGTTAGGGCTTTCCTTGGAGAAAAGGGTGTGCACTGAGCTAGCAGTGAGATTTGTCACCTTGTGCTTCAGTGACACAGGTCAGACACAGCTCCTCAAGGCAGCGAGCTCGTGTGTGAGCCAGGGTGGGAGGGGAGTGACGTGGCCTGGTCCTGCTGGTCACATAAACAGGGCCAGGTGGTGGTGACTGGGTTTGCTCTGAGGGAAGGAAAGGGTCTTTCTGTTCTCTGCCTGCATCTTCAGGTGTACAGGAGACACAGGTGTGGTGGGGAGGAGAAAACAAAGAAAATAAAAGAAAGAGAGCCCCACGGGTGAGATTTTCATGTAAATGACTTGGGAATGGGGTAGGCTCTTGCCTTTGTGCTTTATTTCTCTAGGAAGATCATGATTCTTAGGCATTTAGGGAGTTGACTTTTGCTGGAGATGACTTATGGTTGTCCTCTGATCCCGACTAGACCCCGTTAATCTCACAGGATGGCAATTTCCTTGTGTAGCTGGTGCTCCCACTTTCTAAGCCTCAGCATTAATGTTCCTTGATTTCTTTGAGCACTTCTCCTGCACGCCTCTGAGTCTGAGCTCTGCAGGTCACTTGGTCCCTGCTGGGTGTTTCCTGTCCCAGCTCAGCTTGTGTGTCAGGGCTGGAGGTGGGTAGGGGACACGTTTTGGGGCCATTTCTGCCAGGAGCAAGCCCATGGAGGGGCTCTGGGGCAGCCTGGTGGGGCTGGGAGGAGAGGAGTGGTGCCATGGTGCCTCACAGGCAGCAATAATGAGCAAGCACCACATCTGCCAGAGAGGCATCTCACAGGAGACACTGGCTTTGAGGTAAAAAAAGGGAAGGAAATGATCCCACAACTCACAGAAGGGGAAGAGAGGAAGGAAAAAAATCCCACAACCCAAATTCAGAGCTATTTCTAGCTATAATTGACTTACTTTCATCTGTCAAAATAGAATTAAGCTCCTGTAATAAGCCCTCTAAATCAACAGGCTGCTAATCCTATGCTGGCAACCATTCCTAGTGCTAGGAACTTCCCATAGGAAGCTTTGCAGAAGAGTTGGCAAGGGTTAGGCATCGTTTCCCTATGGGAGAGGAGGATGCTTCCACAAGCTCAGCTGCTGGGCTTATCTTCCAACTCACAGCATCTTCCTGGCCTCTCTGTGTCCCAGCCCTGCGGTCCAGCTGGGCTGGCTGTGCTGGATGTCCCTGTGCAGCTCCAGCAGAGCAGTGTTGGAGCCACCACCTGTGGCTGGCAGGACCTGCCTGGCTGCAGGGATTTTGGGAGAAGCTCAGGGGCTCAGTGCTGTCTCGTGCCTTGGAGCAGTGTCTTCCTTCTGCACATGTTTTAGTGGAGCCATGGACTTCACTGGGGTCTCATGCAAGGAATTTGGGCTTCTCAGAACCTCCTGGGGCTCAGAGGGATGCAGCCAGTCAGAGCAGCAAGGCCCTGAAGGGAGCTCGGGGTGCTGGGGGTGGCAGCAGCACGTGCCTGGACAGTGGCTGGTGCTGGTCCCAACCCCAAGGTCCTGGTTGGAAATGCAGCCAGGACCTCCATGCTGTCCCTTGGGCTGGTCACCGTGCTGGGGGCAGTGCCAGGGGGCTCCTGGCAGCACAGAGGCAGCACTAATTCAATTATAACCACAGAGGCCAGGGCTAATCCTCATCAGGGATTGCCCTCTAAGCCAAGGGAGCTGCTGCCTGACCTGCCCTCCTGCTCTCACACTTATCAGCAGGAAAACAAGGATGCCTACTGATTAGCAATTAGTCTAATGAAAAGTGCAGCCCCCTCAGAAAGCCAGAACTGATGGGAGCACTTCAGCACTGACCCTTTGAGTTGTAGCCTGGCCCAGGAGCTCGAAGAGGGGTCACCCAGGGCTGGGGGTGAAGGGCTGGGCTGTTCTGGGGGAAGGCTGGAGTCAGTGTTAACCCTTTCCTTGGTGCAGCCTCCTTAGGTGTGGACTTGGGTGGATTTGAGAGTGATTCAGGCAGAGCTGAATGAACTGGGCACAGCTGGGGGAGGTGGCTGATGCTCTTGCTGCTGTGAAGGAAGTCTCTCAGGTACCAATAGGGTTGTCTTGACCATCTGCTGAGGGTAATTGATATGATGTGGTTTGGGGTGAAGGAGTCCTTCCTCAGGACCAGAATCACTAGGAGTTTACTTATTTGTCTTCTGTGTCACTGCCCAGTTCCTATGACCATCCCATATTTTTGCTTCTGAAGAGTATGGTCTCCAAGAACATCCTCTGTCTCTGCAGTTCTCTCTGTGCTGGTTCATAGCACTATCCTGATCGGAGATTTGTGAAACAAATACATTTTGTGGCATGTGGTGTGCAGCAGAGAATGAATAATCCACAAAGCCCCACAGCACATCCTTCTGTCCCATCTTCTCCCTTTTTAGTTAAAACCACCTTTTATCACCTACCCTGAGTTGATTTGGAAGTCACAAAGAAATGAGAAATGGGGGAAGTTTTTCACCCAAGGCACCCCTTTATATTTTTTTTACCCAAGGAATAGCACTTCCTACAAAGGCTGACATCTCAGCCAACTTCAATTTGGCCACAAAAGTGTGGCCTTTTCTTTCTCCACTACCAGCAAAATACATTTGTGAGCCCTTGACTTCTCCTTGAACCACAGTATTTATTGTCCTGCTCTGCTTTCCCTCAAACCAAAACTCATTTCAAGTGGCAATTGAGTGTTTTCCCTATAATTTTCAGTGCATTTTGGGGCATTTGTAGAGGGTGCATTGCTGAGATAAGTAAAAAGCATTTGGTTTTGTTATCCTTAACAGCATCATTTGAGACATCACCTTTCAAGCTGTGAGGGTGCTTTAAATGTTTGCTGATGGTCAAAGGCTTGTTCAGCTCTCACCAGGAGGGGAGAGAGCCTTCAGCATTCCAGTGGAGAAGCTCAGGAGGGAGCCAAGTCACCCCCAGGGCTGGAGAGGGAGGCAGTTTGGTGGCAGGGAGCCAGCTCCTGTGTGTTTCAGGGTGTGTGCATGCCTTACTTCACAGTGGTTCCATAAAATGTCCCCTGAGCAATTCCTCTGGTGAGCCCCATGCTCCTCACCTGGCTGGGGGGAGCAAGCAAACCCTTTAGAAGTTGCCTGTTTGTTTCTCCAAAAAGCCTTGTAATCCCTATTGCCAGGCAGCTTTCGTTAGAGAAATAACATGGAGTGCAGGCAGAGAGGGAAAATGATTGTGTTGGGAGGTCTGTGTGTCACTCCTTGCAGCGAATTCAGGGACATGTTTCACTTTGTCTAATCTGCTCTAGCATTTCTCACCGTGTCCATCACAAGGGTCTCTTGGCAGTAACCAATTCCAGTCCCATAAGATTTTGTTAAGGGCTTCTTGAGAGGAAAAAAAAAAAAATTAAAAATCAATAAACCTTCCAGCTCCTTGGCTTGGTCTCCCATTAGGTTTAAATCCAAACAGCTGTGACAGCTGCTGTGTGCTCTTCAGGACTATCACCGTGCCCAGGCTGCCACGTGCACTCGGATCTGCAGCCTGACAGCCACAGGGTGCATTCACCTTTGCCTTGGGTGTCCTCACACCCACATAGGGCTGAGCCTCCACCTTTCCAGGGTTTCAGGGCACGATGCCTTTCCCATCCAGCCGTGGTGGGAGCCCTCATGGGGCTCCCCTGCTCTCCTTGTGTCCCCATTGTGCCACATCCCTTCCAACTCCCTTTGCCTCACTTGCCTCACACAGGACATGTGTGCAGATGGTTCTCCTGACCCTTTGCTTTGACTGCACTCTCTTGCATCCCTTCACAGCCTCTGCTTTTCTCTAACACATCAAACCTAAGCCCCTGCTTTTCCTTTTCAGGCCCCTCCCAGCTCAGATTTTCTCACCCTCTGTCTCAGGGTTGGTTCTGCTGTGTCCAACATCACCCACCTGTGGGTTTTCTAAAGCAGCTACTTCATGCTTCCTCCCCGAAGGAGTTTCATGCTTACAGGGGCTCCTCTGAAATAGCTGCCCTGGGGTCTTGTGCCTAAAGTTCCCCTGAACATGAAACAAACGGTTCAAGGACTGTGGTCCTGCACTCAGGTGAGAGGAAAAGGTGTCCAAAGGGTGTAGGGAAAGACAGCAGCCATTCACAAGTGTGTGACTGGAGTGGGATGTGGGGGGGAACTGTGAACACCCATAAAGCCATGTGTGGGTTAGATCAGTGGATATCCTGCAGAAAAAGTCCTTGTGTGAGCTATTATCCTCTCCTCTTCTGCACTTCAGGCACCTTGAACCCGAGCTGTGGTGTGTCTGCACTGGGGGCCCAAGAGAGTTAATTTGTTCCTGTTAATCTGAAGGATTCAGTCTTTTCTTTTTCAAAAGAAGTGAAGGGGCATAGAAAGGAAAGGTGAAAGAAATAAGGTTATTCTCAATTATTTTCTTTTTTTGTCTGTTTAGAAAAGCTTTACCTTGAGGGTGTTGAGTACCATATGTGTTTGAAAAAGCATCTCAGCTCAAGATCTGGAGGAGAAGAGAGTTTTTTATCTGTGGCTCAGAGCTAATCTGTTTGTGCCAAGCCACCAAAAGCAGAACCAGGCTACATGGTCTGGATCCAGTCTAGACAAGGAGGCTGGGTTTGGTGTTTGGGCTTTGCCCAGCCTCTGGATAAAGCCCAGCTGACACCAGATGCAGTTTTTGGAGCCAGTGTTAGCATCTGGACGGGGACATGCCCATTCCTGCATTTCCAGCACAGCTCTCATCACTGCTCGTGGCTCTTGGCTGTTCTGGTGGAGGTGACAGAGGAAACTCGATGCCTGGACAGAAAAAGGGCTGGAAGAAGCTGAATGGGGGATATCAGCTGCTCTCTGGGCTCCAGCACTTCATCTCCATCCACCCAGCCCTGGGCTCTGTCCCCTGCCAGCAGCAGCAGCTCCTGTCCCCCCTGCACCGTCAGTCAGCACCTGCTTATCTGTGTCTGGTTTTTCCTGGGTATTGCTGGAGCAGGGTGTGTGTGGCACACTGATAATAATACACTGCTGCCACTCAAGGACCAGCACCTCCACAACAGCTTGTGTTCATATCGCCCTTTTATGAATTAGCTTTTTTAAAAGAGTCCGAAATTGCATTATTTCAGCTATTCTGATTTGTATCATGAAATTATGCAGCTGATACTGCTGAAATTTGATTTCTTCATTGACCTATGTCTTTTATTCATTTCATGAGGGCAATGGATTTTCTGTTAATTTTATCCTGTGGGTTAACCCTTACCAGGAGGGTACAAGTTATTTTAGGTTTTTCTCAGGCATTTTGGGAGGTGGTTGGTAAGCAGAGAGCAGAGCCCTGCCCTCTCTAGCAGTCCTTGAATGCTGCCTGCAGGGAGTTCTGCACCCAGCATTCCAGCCCAAATCCAGGCCAGGCTCTTCTCTCCACATTCAGTGATGCTGGGGAGGATGAGCACTCTCAGTGTGGTGGGACACATGCTCCAGATGTGCAGCGGGGAGGCTGCCACCTTCCCTGGCTCCTGTGGCAGCTGTGGCTGCCTAGGGGCAGTGTCAGTGTTGCCTCCTGCAGGATTCCCTGGGCTTTGAGGTCCCAGGACAGCAGATTCTTTCCCTGTGGCTGCAGAGCAGCCTCCTCACGAGAGGCACTTGGCAGCAGTTCTGCCTAGGAGACTTCTGATCATCTCCAGTTGAGGATTAGGAGATGAGGAGCAGCCAGAACCATCTTCCAGCTGTAGGGTGAGACCCTCTGAGCTCCTCTTCTTAAGTCTCAGTTCAAGAAGGTGTTAGGGCTTGTGTCTAGGCTGCCACCTTACAAACAATGGCCTTGAAGATCTGATGGCATTTTCCATCTGTCACTATCATCATCTGAAACCAGAGCTGTCTCAGGCAATTTTTCCCTGACAGAATCATGGTTCCTGTTCTGAGCCACATCCTGCTCAGGCTCCTGCCTATCTCAGGAGCTGGATCCACTCCTGAGGGTTTATTTACAGACACAGCACCAGCTCCTCGCTGGGAGAACAGCTCTTAGAACAGAGGTGTTGGGTTTCAGCACTGCTCTTTGCTCTTCTGTTTTAATTGCTGTCTCTTTCCATAAAATGTTGCAGTTAATAGTTATGGTGATTGGTGTAGCCAGTTTGAAAAATAATTACTGCCTGCTTCGAGATTATCTTTCCTCCTAATTAAAATCCTGGACCTCACATATTAAAGGTGTGCTGTTGACACAGCATCCCGTGTGCGCCCAGACAACCTCATTTGGATTTACAGAATTAATTAGGTTTTATTTCCATCCCCAGCTGTTCTCTCCTGCACCAGGGTTGTGGCTGCTGTCTCAGCTGGACAGTGGTGGGAGAGATAAGAGGAAGGTCTTGCATAGTTCTGAGACTCCCATCACAAACCAGTCATTAAAAAAGTATTTCCCGGACCTCACCAGAGGATTTCCCACCTTCACTGTCAGGAAACAAATTGCAGGAGCTGTGGCATGGCCTGTTTTATGGATTGGGCATTATGTGTTATGTTATGTCATCCATGTGGGTGGTTTGGGACAGCCTGGAGTCCCTCACCCCCTCTCAAAGCTGCATTGAGAATTCATAATGCTGCATGAGTGAGGTTTTTGCAATACCCTGCCTGCAATAAAGGGAAATACAGACAAAAGAGCCAGGTTTTAATTTTCATTATTTAAAAAACAACTTGTCAGTGTTCCCTACCCCAGTATTATCAAGTGAGTGCTCACAAGCTGTCTTTGGTGAGGTGGATACACTGGGTTGGTTGTGGTAGGGCTGGTTTTGGGTGGTGGCTTGTGCACATTTGTTGGGATTGGTAAGGTTTTTTGTGTGTGCTGGGTTGCAGAGGGCAGCGTGTGTCTATAGGGTGCTTCAGTGTCTGACCCAGGTCATTTTCATCCTTGTTAATGTGCATTAAACTGGTGGTCACATGAATGGCCTGTGCCTCTGTACAAGAATCATTTCATCTTGCTGTCAGGATCCTTGGATATTCATAGAGTATTTACAGCCTCCCAACACAAAAGTTAGTATTTTGGGAGGGCAAAAGGTCACCAGTATTTTTCTGTGTAGTCCAGCTGGTAAATTGATAGAAAGGAGAGTTTTGAGGCGAAAGCAGCTGCAGGACAAACCCTGACAGTTGTCCTCCCTCAAAGCCAGCTGGTTAGTATGACTTGACAGTTCTTCCCAGGATGCTTCCCTGCTGCATGAGGAGACCCTAATTCACAGTGTTAAATGGTTGTGATAATCTCCCACTTCCCTCTGCACACAGGGGGTCTAATGTGCTTACCCATAAACTCATCATGGAGGCTGCTTTATGGCTACCTGTGGGAGCAGGCTGCCTGCCACTGCAGTGAGCTCTGCTGGGTCCCCCCAGCACAGCCCTGTGGCTGGGCAAGCACACAAAATGCTGATGATACTGCTTTTCCCCCAGTTTTTTTGCTCTTTTTTTTGTGCTGGATGCCAAAGACCTGAGCCAGGCAAAGACCTCCTTCCCCAAACATCATATTCATCCTTTGCTAAAGCCCCCTTGAACACTCCTGGATGTGGCACCCCAAAAAACTGTCCCTGTGCCCTTCCTGCATATGCTGAGGCGGTCACTCTGCTTCCAGAATTTGATTCACCAGAAAAGTCAATTTTTTCTCTTATCTGGCTGAGAACAAGCAAGCACGTTTTTGTGCCTCGGTTGCTAAATTTTAATGGCTTTCTTGAAAAGCTAATTTGCAGGATTAAGGCTCAGCTCTCCCAAGGGTTCCTGCTGTCTGAGCACCAGACCCTCAGGAGCCCAGCAGAAAGTGTGAATGAGCAAGGCACTTCCTGGGGCTCCACTGCCACTGCAGGAGCCACCTCAGGATCCCAAACATCTGCTGAGGGCTCTGCTCTGTGTCCTCGTGCCTTTTGTCCAAGGTGCTGCCAGCCACTCACCTGCTAAAAATAATCCAAGGGCTCAGAGAGGCTGCAGCACAGCGGGATGTGCTGCCTGCTCTGGGCAGTGCTGGCATCAGACAGGCTGGGGAGGAGGGAATGTGCCTGATGGGGATATTTTCTACCTCCCCACACATTTTGCATTCTGATTTTGTTCCTCTTGACAGTGTTCTCCTGAGCGAACCAGATAAGTTGCTTTTGCAATAAATATGGGGCACTGGAAACATCTTCTTACAGGATGTTGATTCTGCAATAATTTTTATCAGCAGCCCAAAATACCACAGCTGATACCATTTCTGCTGTTGCATCACTACATCCCTACATGCTTCCCCTGTTCTTTTTGCCATCCCTCATAAAAATGAACGTGTTTCCCAGCAGTGAGCACAGCTGACCTCCATATCTCACATTTTCTATTGCAGTGTGCCATATTGTGTGTCTGATGGACTCTTGCTGCCGAGCGTGGTGATGTATCTTGGTCCAGGATCACAGCAGCAGTTGCTGGGTGTAATGGGAACTCAGCAGTGCATTTTAGCTCTTTCAGCCTGGTGACCCTTTGTTCCAAGGCAGATGTTTTTCTAGCCCTGTCGTGTTTGCTGTCAGAGTAAAATCTTCATTCATCAATGAAAGCCATCAGCATGTGTTTGACTGCGTCTGCTTCGAGGGGTTGTTGGAGTCTACTTGACCTGTGGATGCTTTGGTCTGTGGTATTGATCTCCAGGGTTGATTGGAAGATAATTGTAGGCTGAAGTACCGAAGGCCACTGTTGCAAGCAATTTGTTTTTCATAAAGGATTGTCGAGGCATGAGATGCTTCAGTGCCATGGCAACAAGTGTGATGTAACCAGCAGGCAGAGAGCAGGAGGATGCAGTCCCTAGAGAGGCTTTTTCTTGGCATGGAGAACCCTGCCAGTCAGACTCCTCTCACTTTGAATCACCAATACATCTCAGTGAGAGGCTGGAGAGAGAAAAGGTGCAGGGCAGGAGCTGGGTGTGCGGGGTGACTAACAGGCTCCACTGTCCCCTTGCAGGTACTGGCTGACCAACAAGGTGCACATCAAGCGACCCACCACCGGCCTCCTCATGTACACCCTGGCCACGCGCTTCTGCAACCAGATCTATCTCTACGGCTTCTGGCCCTTCCCCCTGGACCAGAACCAGAACCCTGTCAAGTACCACTACTACGACAGCCTCAAGTACGGCTACACCTCGCAGGCCAGCCCGCACACCATGCCCTTGGAGTTCAAAGCCTTAAAGACGCTGCACCAGCAAGGAGCCTTGAAGCTGACTGTGGGGGAGTGCGATGGGGCCACGTAGGGTGGTCCCCGGGCACGTTCCTGCACAGCCACGGGAGGAAGGGGAGGGGGCAGAAAGGATGAGCGCTGCCTGGCGGGGTTGGTCGTCTTCGTTCACGCGCAGGACAGCGACACAAATATATCTACGTGGTACCTATATATATTGACCTGAGTGTTATAACTGTTCGGTGTTCACCAAGGGACGGGCAGGAGGGATGCGGGAGCGCCTCACAAGGCTGGCCTGGGCAAGACCCCTTGCCGTGGGGCGTGCTGGACTCCAAGGGTGTTTGCCTTGCGTCGGAAAGCCGTGGAGGTGGCCTTGGTTTCTGAGGGTGTGTTAGGTGATGGGTAACCGTGAGCCGTTTGTCGTGACTGGTCCGAGGGTGGTAGTTAGTTTGTTCGGCCGAGGGCGGCGAGGCGCGTCCTTGGCCCCGTGCTCGTGGCGGGGAGGGGAAGGGGCAGGGAGCGGGGTGGGCAGGGAAGGTTTGTTGGTGGCTCTCACAGCCCAGGGTCCCGTGGCACCGAGCAGGACCCGGCTCCCGCTCTGCAGGGACCAGATCCATCCGGACACGGAGCGGGCACAGCCTTCGGAGCAGGGGAAGCGTCTGGGGCTGCAGCTGGGTCTGCAGGAGGAGTCAGGGAGCAGAGCTGAGCTGATCCCAGTGACACTCACACATACGAGGGCCAGGGGGATGGTGAGGAGGATGCTGGATGTGTGTTTCTCTTCCTTTTCTGAGGAGCAGAGATGCTGGAATGTCACAGGAAGGAGCTTTACTGCCACAAAGCAGCACCATTAGTATTGAGCAGTCTCACTGTGTCACAAGGACACCCAGCATCTGTCAGGGCTCGTGAAAACCATAAGTATATCCAGCTCTAATTCCTCAAATTCCCAGCTGTTCCCTGCTAAGCAGCCTGCCTTCTTTCCTCCTCCAAAAACTGCCAAAATATGGATGATAGGCCTAGACCCAGCCAAGCAGAAAGAGCACAGGACTTCAAGGGACTTTTTCAAGTCTAAATAATTTATTTTCAGTTTCTCCCCAAAGAACCAGCACACAGTGCTGAATTCCTGGAGTCCCACTCTGTCAGTCCTTTCAAGCCCTAATTATCTCTCACTCCCAACAGTTAAATAGGATGTCAGATGGATCTTGATGGAATGCTTGCCTAGTGATGAACATCATAGAAATAATATTTTCCCTTTTTTTTTTTTTTTTCCTGCCAGACAGAACCCAAAACATAAAGAATTTTCTATAACCACATTTGCTTTTCTCTGATTTTCGGGGGTTTTGAAGGAAGCAACTAGATTGATCTGATTATTCTGTTTCATTTTCTGCCTCTGTGGCCTATTCTGTTTGTCTCCTAATTAGCGCTCAGTGCCAGAATGCAGGTGAGTTCAGGGTTCAGCGAGGGCTGTTTGGGTTTAATTTGTGGGAGAGTAAATAACACTGCACAGGCAGACCTCAGGCACGCACTTCACTGCTGCCATGGCTGGGTATCATCACCTTTGGGCCTCCTCCTGCTGCTGTGTTTTTTTGAGTTAAAAAGTGTACAGTTTTGGGCTGAAATACTTGACATTGTCTCTTTAAAAGCTGAGTGCTTCAAGTGGTAAAAAGAAGAGCTCACTTTCATGTTTTGGGCTGTAGAAGCTACTGTACCCACAGGAGCCTCCAGCCTGCTAATTAGTGTCAGATGAAGATGGCTAAGATTAAGGTATAAGCAACATTATAGTGGATAAATGTGGGCTAATCTGCCACTGAGGGGATGTTTCTTTCCAGCACCAGAAAATCGTTTCTTTCATGTCTCTTTTTTTTTTTTTTTTTTTAACCTGGTGCCTTTTTTTTTTTTTTCTGCATATTATTTTTACTTGACTTTATTTTCACAATAAAGCTAAGCCTGGCTGTGAACCTCAGCTTAAGGTGAGACAGAGAGTGAAACTGCAGGGTGGAAGTAATCTGCAATCCCAGGGAGCTTCCCACGATTCAGGAGTGGTTCTTAAAGCCAGGTAATTCCCAGGTTTGTCCCCAGCACAGGGGGAGGGACAGAGCAGGGCTGGAGCTGCAGGGACTGCTAAAGCCAACTGTTGTATTGAGGGGTCTGGGCCATGGTACTGATTGCTGTTAGCAAACCTTCTTTTTAAATAAAAGTAGAGGAAATGAAATAAATGTGCAGGGTTGTTTTTTTGGTTTTTTTTTTTAATTCTGTATTTTCATCAAATAGAAGGGTGAGAGGGGAGGCAAGCCCATGAAGTGCCATGGGATTAAATGGGGAGACCGTGGCACCCCTTTGGCCGGTGCAGGAGAGGGGAAGGGTGGGCTTGTTTGCTCACGTGGGATGGATGTCAGGGCTGTGCCAGGGAGACATCCAAAACCATCAGGAAGTTCTCGCTGTGCCTACGGAGAGTTTTGAGCTGAAGCTGCAGCAGCACAGCAAGGGTGTGCCAGGGGGTGAAAAGGGGATGGGAGAAGGGATTTTTTTTTTTCTGGTGCTCTTGAAGCAGCTGCTGCATCAAAGCACAGGCGAGTTATAAGCAAATTATTCAGGGGAATGAAATTGCTGGTGATGTTTCTATTCCCAGAATGGGTCCTGTTCCACCCCCGTTGTAAAAATGCATTAAACCATGAGCAAAACCCTGCAGCTATTGAAATCCCTGTCTGAGCTCCCATTTCACCTTGCTGCCATGCAGGCTGGTCTCTGCTGTGTTTATATGCACAAAAAAACAACCAACAATTTCCCCTTGCTTCAGTGTTTTGTGTCAAACCCAGTGGTCTGGTTCTCTGAGCAGCTCCTCAGGTTGGAAATATAATTTATCATCTCAGTTTCCAGCAAATAGGTGGGACCTGGCTCCACCAAGCCCCAGTGAGCCATAAAGCCCTTGTGCTGTTCACGAGCAGCAGGAGCAGAGATCCAGATTGGGGTGGCTGGATGATTTTTGGGCTATTTTGGGGCAGCCACCAGCCCTGGAGCAGCACAGCAGCTGCCAGATGCTGTGGGGACCCAGCAGCTGCACCAAGCTGCTGCTTGATGGGTTTCTTCATGCCCAATTAAGGCTCTTCTGTCATCAGGAGTGAAACAGAAGAGAGCATTGGTGCTGCTTAGGGAGAGGTGCAGGTGTTGCACCAAGAATGTGTTGACTGCCCTAAATGGCAGCAGCAGCTCCCCTTGCTCTTCCTCCTCCATCCCAGCACTCCCTCCAGCACTGAGGCTGCTCCAAACTGGTGGCTCTGGGACGGGGAGCTCCCTCCCATGGGTTAGGCACATTTGTGCCAAAAGGCCCCTGGGTGGTAAGAAGGCACCTAAACTTGAAAAATAGAGGAAAACTTGAGTCTTCAACTGGCTAAGCCCAGAGTTTGGGGCTTTTTGTGACAATGCTCTGAAAGGTGCTGCTGGGCAAACAGTGTTCCCCTCACCCTGTGCCCCTGGGGCATCTTCCAGGTCCAACAGCCTGGGGATAAGGGCTGTGTGTTCCCTGCTCCCCAAACCACAGTGAGAAGCTCAGCTGTCTTTTAATTTTATCCATGGTTTGCTGGGTTACATCCCAGCCTTGGAGTCTGCCACAGCTTTGGGAGATGCATATATATATAAATATATATATATGGCTCTTGCTCTCCTGGGGGACATCATGACATATCTGGCCCTGACACCAAGCACATCTCCTCTGGTCAAACTGCAGAGTCTGCAGGCTCCACTGCCAACATCCTTTATCATTAGTACCTGCACTGCCTTGTTCAAAGCTGGCTGGGGTGATTTTGGCTTCAGCAGCTCCTCTGAACTGTAGCACAGCAGCCCCTGGCTGCTTCCCAGGCTGCCCAGCCCCTCTCCAGGCAGGGCTGCCCTCCCTCCCAGCCCCACAGGACAGGAATGGAGTTTTTCCCCTTCCCCCAAACTCTCCACCAGCCAGGACTTGCTGCAGGTCAATAACCAACCCACTGCTTCAGTCCCAGCCCAGATAATTAGTGAGCAAAGTGCAAATAGTCACTGTGATTCAAATTACCTTTTAATTTCTTTTCAAGGTGCCTGAGGGGTTTCTTTAGCCCTACGAAAGAAACTGATTTTTTTTTTCTGAGACACCAATCTTGCAAACCAGAAAGACACAGTATTTTGTATTCAAGGTGTAATGAAAGTTGTTTGCATTTTTACACTACATTTTGGATGCTTCTTGGGAATAACGCTGAACACTTCAGACAGTCTCAAATGACACAAATTATTTCAGTTGATCCAAAAACAAATTCATTTTTAATTTTGTGCAAAATAGTCTCAGAAAGGTTGCACCATCTACAAATCACAACATAGATATTGGGTTGGGTTTTTTTCTATCCACCACCCCTTTTCAAAATTTAAACAATCCAATTTCATGCTAGAGAGGCTTGAAACTATGGAGATTAAAGCTTAAAGCTTTGAGAGACCCACAGGGGACAGCAGGAAAGTGGTTTGGTTTCCTCCAGAGTGCCCCACAATGTCAGGAGGTAAAAGCAGGCACATAACCATGGTCACCAATGTAAGGCTTTGTCAAACCATACCTTTTTCAGCTCTTTAGGTTGCTTTAATTTTTAGGTTTCTCACATTTATGAATGGTTTATTAGCATGTGTTTTAATCTCTGTGTGTTACTCTATCAACCTCAGCACCAGACAGCAGAATTTCATTTTGGGGTCTGCCTTTTAACCACATCAGATGCTTTCTAGCCTTCCTCTTCTTCGCTGCAACATAATCTTATTTTTCTCTGTGAAAACAACTGAGCACCTCTGAGCTGGCAAATCTTGTCTGCAACTCAAGTGGTGCTCAAGCCCAAGTTCTACATTGGGTCATCTTCTCACTGTGGACACCACCAGCAGCAGGGAACGGACTCCATGTCCTACTTGTGCCCCCCAGATGGGTGCACATCACCCCTGTAGGCAAGGAAATTACTGAGAATGGCCTTGGACAGGGGCCTGAATGATAGCCAAAAGAATCATCATCCACCCAAGAGGATGGACTTCCCTCCCAGAATTAGCAACATCAAGGCGTTCAGCAGTAAGCTCCTTCTCCAGCTGGAATAACTCCTCTTGGATGAACTCCTGTTCATCAAACCTGCCCAGTGCAAGAGCAAAGCTGTCACAGGCCTGTTCCCTTCACAGCCCAGCTGGAGGTACATGAATTTGGCTGCTTAACATCATCTCCCACCAAATCTACCCATGCCCCTGCAAAAACCAGGATCAGCACTCACTGACCCTTCCTGCTGTGATGCCCTCAAGACCTTGTGCATGAGCTGAGAACAGATGTGAAGTAACAACATGGATGGAACTATCTCCTGCTTGGTTAACGAAGGAACCTTCAGCCATCTCCAACCCCTAAAGAAGGCACAGGCAGGAGGAGGACAGACCCCAGGGATGGTCAGGGAGATGTCATCCTAAAGGAGA